GTTGTTAGTTTGCATCACTACCAAGTCTGGGTTTTGATTAACGGCTGCATATGCAGATCCTAGTAGCTTTGTATTTGTTCAGGGTTATGAGTGGTCTTAAGCCAATCGATTTTTCATCGTATATCCCATATAGGAAAGACTGATATATATTCAACATAGTTCTAATGCTCTGAGTGAAGCTGTCTGTATCGGTGTAAACGAAACGTATTCGTCGATTTCTGACAAAGAAAAAACATTGATAATCCGATAAAGGTACTTTTTTAAGTGTTTGAGTTGGAGCAGTGGTATTGAAAACCTTCCAGAAGCTACCGTTGATATAAGAGGTGTGTCAAGCTAGTTAGTATTGTAAGAGTCATCTTGAGATTCAAGAAGTGTGCTTGCGTACTAGGTGTTACTCTCTGCAAATCGTTCAAGAACAGTACACCTCTTCTGTATTGGTAGTTGTTGATGAAAAAATACTACACATTCACATTGTTGGATTAATGTGACTAGATTTTATTTCTGAAACACGTCACTTGTACGACTTTCTATTAGTGTAGGGTTTTAAGAATAAGAATAATCTATACTCCACTAGTCACATACTTGGTGGCTTTTCACACCCTTATGACGAGGCGAAATCAAGTTGGTATAAACAATCTTATGGTTTAACAAGAATGAATTACATGGATCCTTTATCGGTTCTATCGCAACGTCGATTACCTAGTGATTTCCTATCCAAAACCTCAAAACTCTCCTTCTACCTTTCCTCGAAAGTACAACAATGCACAAAGTTCAGTCCGTTTAACCACAAACTTCCTTGCAACTGCAAAGTTTTCACAGCATTCTGACGAGAAGTCGTTTTACTTCAGGAATTTTGCGGTGCATAGCGCTGAAATGCTTTCTGCCAGTGTGTAAAATTTTCCCAGCGTTTTTCTGGAAGTGCTAGCACAGAAAAGTTGTCCGCAAAAAAACTGAGTGGAGAAATGACCATTACCAGCTCAGAAAATTTATCCTTGTCACTATTCTATAGACACAGGCATCGTCACAACCATATTCAAGAGAATGCATCTTTCACCTTATAAAATTTAAATCTTTTAGATCTCTGTTTTACCTGCTCTGGGTTTTTCGTTATTAATTATTTTTAATTTTGTTTCGTTCATTGCTGAGTCATCAGGTATTCAATCTTTATGAGAGGATAATGAAGAAATATTTTCTCTATTTGGCCCCAAAATTATATGAACACGTACCCAAAGACTTAAAACAATTTCGAAACAAACATAATTCTAGAAATAAAGACAAAATATTATTAAATTCCCTTCAAATATTCATTAAAAGTTATCATCTTCTACATATACACCTGTTTTACCCAGTCTATCTATTACTACTACTTCTACTACTGTGAGAGAACAGATAATGTGTCTTCCTGTGGCTTTCAAACTGATAGAATTCCATGTCTTCTTGGCCAAATGAAACCATTATCCTTTACTGATGTTTCGGCCACCATGGAGCCCTTTTACAAAGTACAGATCAAAATGGCAGTGCTAATATTGTCTATACTAATAATATATAACCTATACGTTTATATATTTATCTATCTTACAGGTCACGTATTATTTTTTTATACTTAAACCATCATGAAGGCCTGAGGCCAAAACACAACAATAATGGGTACCGTGAGGCTATTGGGAGATCCAGTGGAAGGAGGGGAGGGGGGACGCCACACGGACTCTAGCGAGAGAACAGGTGTGCAAGCAACATGCACACATATGACATATGACCCGCCTTAGAGATCCGGCAGGTGGTACCACCACGTTCGACTATCGGAGACCGTCCATCACCTACCACCCACTTGTTTTTTCTTTTCGTTGCTATAGAGTATGTTGCAACAACAGTCTGTGCAGTTCTGCACCACGCTGAGATTGTGCGAAGCCGTCATTACAATTTTAAGATGGTAACCGCATAAAACTAGCAAAGCCCAGGACCGCTCAGGGTAAACATTCCCGCTCACAAAGTATGTCCAGCGCACCGGAAGCGACAAGTGAGCACGAGGTTATCTGTTTGTCCGCGCGTTCACGTAGTCCTTTGGCGTTATCGACGCGATGATCGATGGTGACGTGCCGGTTATATCCAAAAGAGCAAGTAACCTGGTGCTCACTTGTCGTTATGGAGCACTGAGAATCTTTTGGAAGCGGGAATGTCGACCCTAGGCGCACCTGGGATGTTGTGTGGTGCCTTCTTAAAATTGTAATGATGGCTCCGTGCGAACCCGGTAATGAGCACTTTCAAAGAAATGTGGTTTTGTCTCACGTGTTGTAGATGTTAACTTGTACGCTAATGTATCTGGAGACGTGTTACAAAAAAATACTAAAAAGATCGCAGATGTAGTCGTTGATTCCTAATTTTATTGCATAGCACAAATAGTATAGTTACGAGGTACTAGGTAAAAAAAGTTGGTAGGAGGGTAACAGTAAATAAATATTTTGTATCATTTCGAGCTATAGCAGAAAGAGAAATACTTCGTTAACCACTCTCGTTATTTGAGTTCATAATTATATACTCATTACCTTAATGTGGCACAATATTGAAACTTAAAGACAAAGAGAGACCCTCCAATTAAAAAACATTTTAATAATGTTTCTAAAGCAACTCGCGGCACAAAAACATGGAGCATATTTCTCACATAAAAAGGGTCTTTATCCGAGATGTATAAGAGTCCTTTCACGCAGCCTAAAGCAGGAAAGGATTCTGCTACGTCTTACATTACACTAAAATTACTTATTCACAGGGACTACCACCACCCCACTAGCATGGTAGTTTCAGATACGATGTTTTGAATTAATTCCAGCACTGGCAATATCGAAAACATTCATAGCTTATTGATAACTACACAATCTATCTTGTTGCTAAATATAAGTGCGTGCCTGATATGCATGGGACTGATTTCACAAATGGTAGTCAGCTGCGTGCGATGATCTGATGCTGCTCTATATTTATAAATATATTTATTAATTTATTCATTTATTTATTTATTTATTTACTTATTTACTTACCCACCTACTTATTTATTTATTTATTTATTTATTTATTTATTTATTTATTTATTTATTTATTTATTTATTTATTTATTAATTTATTTATCTATTTATTTATCTATTTATTTATATATCTATTTATCTATTATATATATATATACAGGGAGTTTCAGTTTATTGTTGCATAACTTTAAGATTTGATAGAACTTTTAAAATTAATGCATAAAGTCTATATAAACATGGGTAGAAAAATGCGTGGCTTCCGAAATACAGGGTGTTTAAATTTACGTTCTAAAATAGTATTTTTTAAATATTTCGAACAATATTTGATGTATAACAGTGAAAATTGGTATACAAGGGTTTTTTGGTACGACAAAACGAACCAGGGACATACCTTTGCTGTAGCCGCTAGAGGGCGCTCTCTACTGTACCTGTAGTGTATTAAAATGACCGAAAATTTTTTCCTTGTGCAATTTTTTGCTTTTTGAATAAAAAGACTGGTTCTTCGCACTTTTCAACATAAAAAAGCTCTCTTGTGAGTTTTCGTTATAGTTAGCCGTTTTTGAGAGATTTCGGTTTTTAAGGTTCGATGCATTTTTAATTATTTATGGGAAAATAATGTTTGTTTTACATTTTCAATTTGGGCATTACAAGTAATCAAGATGATCGTTTAGGTTGTATTTTTAAACACAGCAATAATTCCTAACTCCAAATAAACAGAATATTAATTTGTTTAATTTTCCAATGTTATTTTTAACAAATTAAATTCATCATTTACAACTAAAATGCTATTGGATAGTTAGGACAAACATACAAAATCTAAAGTAGTTGCTCGAAATGTAAACCCAATTGTTCAATACAGAATTGACATCTACGAATGATCGATCGTGGTATAGCATTATTCAAATAAGGCCTTATTTCATCACATGCATTCCTGATTCTGTCTATTAGCATATCTCTTGTGGTTACGGGAGTCTGGTACACTTTTTCTTTTAGAAATCCCCACACAAAGAAATCTAATGGATTTAGGTCAGGGGATCGTGGAGGCCAGGCGACTGGTCCTCCACGGCCGATCCATCTTTCTGGATAATTTTCGTCCAGCCAGTTTCTAACTATTCTCGAATAATGAGCTGGACAACCATCAAGCTGGAACCAGGCCAATCTTCTTAAATCTAACACAACATCATCCCACATATTTGCATGTTCAGCCTTTAAAAATTCCAATAAGATCGCAGCATTTAACCTTGCAGGCAAAAAGTAGGGTCCAAATAGTCCGATAGATACCAATCCACACGTTCACACTAAATTCATGCTGAAAATTTCTTTCCCGAACTGCAGGCGGATTTTCATGCGACCAAATATGTTGATTATGAAAATTTACCACTCCACGTCTAGTGAAGCATGACTCATCGGTCCATAAAACGTTACTTAAAAACTCCCTATTATTATCAGTTCTATCAAGAATCCACTGACAAAATGTGATTCTTCGTTCTCCATCCCCTGGCTGTAGTCCTTGCACAGGTTGCAAAAGGTAAGGACGTCTATGGTCATTTCTAAGAACACGGTGAACATGGCTTGCTGAAATTCCCAAGGCACCAGAAACTCTCCTAATACTTGGGGTCGGATTATCAAACTCACGAATCATACGGGTAAATCTGCGCTGACGAACATTCATCTTTTGATCCCCTAGGAGATTTCCAAAACCGTTTTCAATTATTTGGCGATGCACTCTTACAAATACTGAGCGAGTTGGGTGAAAAAATTTTCGGTCATTTAAATACACTACAGGTACAGTAGAGAGCGCCCTCTAGCGGCTACAGTAAAACTATGCCCATGGTTCGTTTTGTCGTACCAAAAAACCTTTGCGTACCAATTTTCATTATGCAACAATAATCTGAAACACCCTGTATATATACTCGTATATATCTATATAAAAGTCCTAGAATAATTTACAGTGAAAACTCGCAGAAAGACTATTACTGGTCTTAGCTTATTTGAATTGCGGTAGCCCTAAAGAGGCTGTCGCTTTACATGCCGGGTACTGGTGTAACCTGAGGGAACGTAAGGTTGGAAAAGGAAATACAACCAGAAGCCATTTGTGGCTTCAGTCAGAGGATCTTGTCGCCATGAAGGCCAGCTATATACTCGTATTTACTATGCTAATAGTGGAAATGGATAAATATATTGAAGATACTCGTAACAAGGAAGATCATTGCTAATAATATACAATGGCCGCACCAGCAGATCCCAACCATTTAATGCGAACATTTCGGTAAGTAGGATGAAGGTGTACGAAGTCGTAGGTGTCCTTCATCGCATTCGTATCTCGTAAAGAGTAATAGTTAACTCACAGTTTCTGTCCCAGCCAACTTTGATTGGCTATAAATGGTATAAACACGCCTCTGTGATGACAGAAATCGGTTCAATCTTCTCAACACCGGCTCTCTCGACTCCACAGGACTGATAAACAGGTATCTCCTGGATGTATCCAAATTGCATTTGCCCGTCATTCTTCTTCTATTGTAAGTTAATCTAATTGAAACCAGATGTCCATCGAATCTCAGTCGAACGCAGAATCCTTCCTTTCCCGGGATGTTGTGAGGCTAATTCTTCCTTCTCACGCCTTTTGCTTCCCGCCTGCGGAGGGTCGGAACTTTAATTAGTCATCCTCTTGACACTTGTCAGTTTTACATAAATCGAACGTATTTCCTGCCATTCCGCACCAGTGGCGTTTCAATTGTGATAGTAATAAAGGTGGACGAATATGCTGTTCAAAATGGAAGAAGCAATCCGATGCCAATAATCGTTTTCGCACTGATGACTAAGCATCTAGGTGCATCTATCCGCAATAGTTTCCGAGACTGACCTCCTTTGGAAGAGCTCAAGAACATATCTTATTAGTATCCATGAGTGTCTTCATAATAACTTTGTTCAACACCCTCATCGCCTCGACGTAGCACAAAATAGCATTTGCGTTGAAAAGAGTTGTCAAATAACTTGAATTATCACGTATAATACATTCACTCTTATAGTAATATCTACTAGGTATATTTAACTGTGAGAAACCTTATCTAAATAACAATTTGGAAAGTATTTGCTACCTTATTTCAACTATTTGAACTCAAGCTGACTACTTCTAAAAAAAGTCAGCTACCCACGTCTATAACAGAGTAATGAAATCGACCAAGCCGGTCCTCACTTCTTTGACAATGTTGCGATCTAAAAATTCAGGTTTATCATTCACTAGCGGCCCGCTTCTGCTTTGTAGAACCGCCGTATCATCCTGCTGGGTAGCACATCTGGGTTAAATTATAATGTTTGCTGATGTTCATCGTACTTGGATCCTTTTTTATATATATATTATTTTCGATTTTGCATGTGTTTTAAAAAAAAGAATAGATATGTAAACTTCTCTGTATGAAACATTGAGGCTGCTGGATTATGTATAAAAAGATGCATAATGCGTTTAGACTCTAATGACTAAAATCTCAAAGCAAATGGGCTAGAAAAGTTCCCTAGGGTGGGGATTTAAACTCCGATCTACCGCGTAATAGGCAGTCACTGTTACTACTCTGCTACTAACACGTTGAGTGTCGTTTAGTCACTACCAAACACTGTATATAATTCGGTTTTACTGACACGTGGTTGACTCTATTTTTGTGAATCATAACTAATCTCCTATAAGTTTTGGCACAACATATTCATCGAATTTTTTTTAAAAAAGAAATTTATTCAAGAACTAACTAGTTATCATAAATTGCAACTCAATACTTAACTAAACTATACTATCGAATTATGTGGAGTGGCCCATTCCACTCTACCTGACGCAACTTTCTTCGAATGTCTCTCATGAGGTCCTGGACGGAATTCAGATCAATTTCTCTCAGTCTTTCGTAAATTCGCCGTCTTAATTGTTCTTCATTCTGGGATTCCCAGCCTCCTTGATAAACCTTCCTAGACAGTGAATCCCAAGAATCTTCGATTGAGCACGACTGCGGCAAGTGTGGCGGATTATCGTTTTTGGGAACAAAAGGTATGCTGTGTTGTCAAGTCCAGCTTTGAGTACCTCTTGAGTAATGGCATGATGCTAGGTCTGGCCAAAACATATGGCCATTAGCATAATGTTCGTGGACAAACTGAAGCGATTTGGAAAGTCGGTTATCAATATAGCTCTGACTACAAGCCCCTTCCCACCTCAGTTGGCTTAACTATTGAAATCTTAGTTTTTTTCTTATCAAACACAAATAATAAAAATTCAGCAGGATGTTATACGTTTAAAATATTAACAGTGTATTTTGATAATATATAGTAGAAAACACCAACTTTATCACCCCCTAATCAAATTTGCAGCATAAAAGTAACACAATTACAGCATATCGACCTATTTTCATTTCAATGCAAAATAAGTCTATAACGCATAGGTGGCTGTGAAAAATAAAAGCCATGAAAATTGTTTTTATTAATCACTGCCGTCAGAATACGTTTAAAATAGTTTTGGGTAGTTAAGGTTTTCAAAATGGGTAGAGGAAAGGTTTTTAGTGAGAAAATTCGGTTACTGATAATTAAATTTTAATTCTGGGAAACCAAACTCAGAAATTGCAACTTTGTTAGACTTATCGCGGTACAGTGTGAGGAATATTGTTAGAAGATATAATGTAACTGGTTCAGTTAATATTAAGCCACGATATGTGAAAAAAGGTAATATCAGAAACGCCGACCAAAGAGCATTAAGAAGAAAAATCGTGAAAAACGGGCGTGCCAATTATTTAATATTAAGTGCTCTGTGGAGTGACGCTGTTGGAAGGAGTTTCGAGGTCCACAACCCATAGAGAGGCCCACAAACTTTGATTTAGCACTTGCAAGGTAAGTTTTCTCTTAAAAAAAAGTGAAGTAAAAACCCTAAAGTTGCACAACTTATTTATAGGCCAAAGAAAAGCCACTATTAACTCCACTGCAAAAGAAAAATCGGCTTAGGTGGGTTAAAGAATATAGACAATGGACACCTCAACAATGGTGTGCAATACAATGGAGTGATGAGGCCCGATTCGAAGTTTGTGTTGGTGACAGTCGCAGTAGAGTTATTCGCAAAAAAATGAAGCATTCGATGTTGACCGTCTGAAGAGAAAAGTGAAATTTCCAGCATCCATTATGGTCTGAGGCAGTATGTCATCAAAAGGAGTAGGAAAACTTCATTTTATTGATGGAAATGTGGATACAAACAAGTATTTGGCAATTTTAGAATCGCTTTTACCAGTGATGGAAGAATGCTTGACATCCGGCCAAGATTTGGTGTTTCAGCAAGATGGTGCAGCGTGCCATACCTCAAAAAAGGCTATAAAATGGATGGAAGAAAATAATGTACCACTTTTGAAATGGGTTGTCCAGATCTGTCACCTGTTGAAACTTTGTGGCACGAGATGAAAAAGGTTTTACGACAACATCCTGCTCGTACAATCACCGAACTGAGACAAAAGCTTCGAGAAATATGGGATTGTTTTACACCAAATTTTGGCCAAAACTTGGCTAACACTATGCCCCAAAGAATTTCAGCCGTAATAAAAAATAAAGGTGATGTTACTCAATGGTAACCTTTCAATTCTTGCTGTGTTAACTCCGCGCATTTATTCGCACATTGTTTATTTGTTCAGATAGTTATAGGTCTAAGAGATTTCAAATATGTATTTTTACGACTGGATTGTATCTAAAATGTTTTTGAAAAAATAAATTGTTTTAGAAGTAAATAGTTTCGTCATGTTTAGTTTATAAAGGCATATTCTGGTACAAATCTTGAAGTGGGCCAGCTAAAGTGGGAAGGGGCTCGTATTCGAAGCTTCACCCCTCACCCTTCGCATAAAAGGTTTGGATACACCCGTTAGAAGTTGCACACCAGACAAGAATTTTATCTGCAAATTTCGCTTTATGTTTGTATCTAACATTGTCAGAGCATTCCTTTACGTTGCCCGTTTAAAATCCGTCGTTTCCCATCATTTCAGAATTACTCAAAGTGAAATACTTTTCGTCATCAAAAATAATGATTTTTCTATTGGCAAAAAATCAAGTGGCAGTAATGGTATTTCTCCGCGTGTTCTCAAAATTGGATATCCACTAGCTGTTCTCATCAACATGTCTATCTATCAGGGCGTATTTCCTGAACTCTTGAAATTAGCTATAGTTATACCTGTGTTCAAGAAAGGCGATCCTCAGCTAATCGACAACTACCGAGTATTTCCTAAAATTTTTGAGAAAATAATGCACATCCGAATAAGCAATTTTGCAGACTATTCTAATTTACTAAATAATTCCCAGCATGGCTTTAGAAAGCCCAGATCTGTAGAGACGGCGGCATTTGAATTTGTCAGCCATATCAACAAGGAGTTAGACCACGGCAAATATGTAGCTGCTATATTTTTTGAGTTACAGCATATTAGAGGAAAAGCTGTACAGCGTGGGAATCAGGTTTTTTTTATTGAATTGGGTCTTGTCTTTTTTGTCTGAAAGGTAGTTGCAAGTTGATGCAGGCCAACGACACAGTTTCAAAACAATACATCATAAATATTGGAGCTGCTCAAGGATCGGTAATGGCACTTTTGTTATTCATTTTATTTGTCAATGACTTGAGCCTATCTGGCTTGATAATAAGCTACGCAGATGATATCTCAGTTTCAGTAAGTGGTACTACATGTGAGGAACTTGTTTGTAACATCACCCTAGTGAAAAATGAAATGCAGCTTTGGTGCCAACAGAATCCTTTGTTTTTAAATACCGACAAGACTGTTACCGTTCACTTTAGTTCTTGTAGGTCACAGCTTCACGACGTTGACACTGACTTGGGGACTTTTCTGGGGATAATTATGGATTCCAAGCTCACTTGGCAAATGCATATTGACTCAATATGTAAAACTCTCAACAAGTCATATTTTGCCATCTTAAAATTAAAGCACTGTGTAACACAAGCAGTATTGCTTAATGTTTACTATGCGATGGTATACTCTATAATAGTTTGGGGACAAGTCCGTATTGTGAACATGGTATTCATAATCCAAAAAAGAATATTGAGATTAATTTTTAACATACCTAGGCGTGAATCCTGGAGGTCTGCATTCAAGAGTAGTAATCTAATAACACTTCCGGCAGTCTACATCTTCAACTGCGCTCTATATGCATTCCACAACAAATATAGGTTTGTTAAAAATAAAGATGTAAATGTTCGTTACAACAC